GAGGTCGAGACACTATGACATTCTTCGCACTGGTCGCTCTTATGATGCAGTAGAGAAACCCGAATTCTAGCGTTATAAGTCCGCAGACAAACCGCTGTGCCACTGGGGGGCTATGAATATGAAAACAAGTGTATTGTGCAAGAGTTAAAGTTTCAAAGTAAATTTGTTTCATCAAGTTTATTAATTTTCCGAACTGAACCACACATTGCTTTTATTCATTGCGTGTAATATCCTAAGAATTCCACCAAGGTTATAAACGAATTTTTATTTTTCTAAACATGTGAATTTTATGTGAGTAAATATTTTAAAGTATGTTTCATTAATTTTATATTCCTTGCGTACTTCACATAAATTCTCTGAAATCTCAAGTAATTTTCTAATCTTTTCAGTATATAACGAAACACTGATTTTACTATTGGGCAAGGCATGGCCTTGTGGTTAGCGTTCCGGGATGTAAATATGAAGGTATACAATATCAAGTGTTGCAGTCCAAGTAAATACCAGCCTAACAGCAAAATAACGAATTTCAACAGACTCATTTAGCAAACGTGATAGCTTCGAAAAAATACAAACGTACATGAGGACATTTGAAATCGAAAAAACAACAACATGTTGTTGCGTCATCGAGATCACGTGACAATTCTCACGCCTTCGTCGGAACGAAGTTACGGAAAGTTAATTAACAAACGGAGACGTAACAATGTATACAAAGATATGTTCTTGATACTACTCGGTAAAATTCAAAGAATTAATAATTTCATTGTAGACATAAAAGCAGTAAAATATTTATCTTTCCATCCAGCTGCTCCCTCTCTCTCTCTTTCTTCATCAATAATATTAATTTTGACCACTATCATGATTCTCAAGAATCACAGCGCTCCTACATTTTAAAGCAAAGATTGCACACCTTCCAGTAACAAGAACGTTATATAAATAACTTTTACACTTTGAACGATACGAAACTATATATTAAATCATTATGAACTTACAACACGTGAACTATTGTAACATGTGATGCTACTATATGTTTTATGCCCTCTCGGGTACTGGATAAAGTTTTCAAGATTTCAGTGTTTGTAGTGCTGGTTTACATTACAGCGTTGGTCAGGGGAGACATACATGATGCCTCTTGCTTTAAATATTCACGGTACTGGTTGAGCCACCAAAGATACCCTGGTGTTACCCATTAAGAAGGATCAGTGTACTATCAAACGCGGATAGCAACAGCCTGATGTTCTGAGGGATCAACACCCTTTGTGAGTTGAGAGTCGTCATGTGGATCGCGCGAGTGCCGAGAGAGAGAGTGTGTGTGTGTGTTGTATATATTGTTGTTATTTCTTTGTTCATAAACCTTTAGGTCGAAGTTGTAATTGAATTTTCATGTTTTAATTTTAGATTTTGAGCTAAGATTTAACTCCTACCAATTTTTCGACTTCAGTGATTTAACTTTCTTTTTACTGTTTGTGGACTTTTAGTGCACGAAACTTAACTTTGAGCTCTAACGTTTGGTTTAGCTCCCCTTTTTTTCTTGTTTAATCGTATACAGGTTTTGATTCACAGCTGAACAGTTAAAATTCTCTCTCTCTCTCTCTCTCCAGCTCTTCGCAGTACACAAAACACTTGCTTTGTTTAATTGTTCACTTTCATTGTGTCCCAAACAAAGATTGTAAATTTGTACAATTTTGTATCGAGTCTCTTCTTTTATGTCAGAAGTAGTCAAAGTCAAGGAAAGTTAGATCTTTACTCGTGGTGGGCACAGTACAGATAACCCCTTAGGGAAATCAGTGAACCTTATAATTTCACACTATCAACACGTATATATATATATATACTGTGGCACTTTCTGATTGGTTATATGACAACCAGTCACTGTGTAAACAAACTACATACAGGTGTTTATCTCTGGTGCAGTTCATTTTCACACGATAAAGAGATGGCATTCTCTTAACATTTGTCTTTATACTCTTATACTTACAATTTATAGAAGTATTTTCTAAACCGTATATGTTTTCAAATCACTTACTAACGTTTGCAATCAATAAAGTGTGGTTAAGGTTGTTAACCTGATGCTGGTCTTAAGTCATCTATAATTATTTATTCTTCTTTCCAAACCGTAAACCATTCGAACAAGACAACAGTATATCTAGTACAACCAACCATTCGTACAAGACACCAGTATATTTAGTACAACCAACTATTCTTGGTTGTACTAAATATACTGTTGTCTTGTTGAATAGTTGGTTGTACTAAATATACTGTTGTCTTGTTCGAATGGTTGGTTGTATTAAATATACTGTTGTCTTGTTTGAATAGGAACAAGACAACAGTATATTTAGTACAACCAACTATTCGAACAAGACAACAGTATATTTAGTGCAACCAATAAATGATATTTATTCATTTAAGCAGTTTTTAACTTTTATAATTTATCAAACAGTTTTTCAGAATTTCTATTCGTTTTTGAAATAAAATGTAGATTTCTTTGTTTCAGTTCCACCAAGAATAAATACAGCATTTTTTAACAACCAACCCTTTTGTGTCAGCGGATAGAACCTGGGCGAATCAATTACTCTGTAACTAAAAATGAAAAATGGATCTTTTTTTTTGAACATTGGAAAACAAAAACAAATAGAAACAGTTGTATCATTAAATATTTGTTTAAACGTTTAATAGAGATGTATCCAAAAGTTAAATAGTAAAACAGTATATCACTGAAATGAATTCTATTTCATCAAGCAGAATATTTGTTTTATACGAAAGTCACATTGGGCTATATACTATGTCCATCGGGACCATTAATTTACCCCCTTTTCCTTTGAGATATCAAATTCAGTATTTTAAGATTTTTTAAAACATTTCTCTCTATTATGACTTCCAAGAATATGAAATAACTTGCTACGTAACGTGAACCGAAATAAGTATCTCCAATCAGATGAGACCAATGGGATGGATTTAATGGTAGTTAGAAACAGTATCAGACACTCTGAAAAGATAACTTTGGACAATACACACTTCTTAATAGGCAAAGATGCCTATTTTTTATATTTTATAAAATTTGACACCCCTCCCCCCAAATAAAAGATCCTAGAAACGCCACTGGTGAAGACGTTGTTCTAATAGTGGACTAACTCTAATTCTTAACATATTTTAGGGGGTAGTGATGGTTATTTATTTTCCAGAAAGATTAGTAAGTTAATTATATCCTATGTCATTTTTATTATGATTATTCTTCTGCACTGTTAGCTTATTATATGGATTTGGGATAACTTAAAGCTTCCTGGACTGGTCGAATCTCGTGAGATAGTACTGGTTTTTATGGCCGAAAATATCGTTAAGAGCGAGAGCACCCACTGATGAGACAATGTATTATATTCATTATAAATAATATAGTTTAAATATATTTAATCAGTTATGCTCGTTATTAAATATATATGATTAGTTCCGATTGGAATTGGATGACGAGGAACCCACTTTTTAGAAATAAAAGCTTGGAGACGGCTTGACTGGGTAATAAAAAATACTTTATTATAAATGTACGATATTTCGATAATATTATGTCATCCTCAGATACAAGTAGTTTATAGAGATACATGAATATATACAGTACGGAACAAAGAGGACACATGACCGGATATTGCTTCACAGTCTAATAGAGGTATCTTAGTACCCTAAACCAACACCCCGAGTGATAACACACCCTGAAAATGACATAATATTGTCGAAACGTCGTACATTTAATATAAAAAAATTTTCATCACCCAATCAAGCCGTCTCCAAACTTTTAGTTCTTATGTATATGACACCCGGAAGCTGATATTTTGATCATATACGTGATAGTACGTTTAAAATACTTGAATGAAGGAGAATGTGAACTATCTCGTCTGTATCAATTTCGTTTGTTTGTTTTAAATTTAGCAGTGAAAGACTAGAGGGAAGGCAGCTAGTCATCACTAACCACCGTCAATTCTATTACCAACGAATAGTGGGATTGGCTGTCACATTATAACGTCCCCACGACTGAAAGGGGCGAGCATGTTTTGGTGGGATTGCGAGTCGAACGCCTTAACCATTAGGCCATGCCGGCCCATCTGTAAGAATAATGTCACGTAAATCACATATAAAGTACAACTTTGAACGATTTAATGGAAACGCAATGCAGGAAGCTTAATTATTTCACGTTTTGAAGACCAAACAGTAGGAGTTGCAATCGGCAATAAAACATGACAACTCCAACATATACATGTTAGCATACACAGCTGCTACGGCAAAATTTTGTACCAAAATCTCGTAACCTTTTTATGCATGCACCAAATAAACGGTATTTGGTACTTATCTCAAAGTGTTTCGAGGTTTTGACATAAAGACTGGTTGTTTTTAAAGGAAACTGTGAAACTTAGAAAATATATACCTTGGCTTTCAGTGCTAGTTAACGTACTACCGTAAAATACACAAGATTTAGAGATGTTTTTTTGTTGTCAAGCGCAAAGATAAACAATGGACTATCTGTGCTCTGCCGGCCGCTGGTATCGAAACCCGTGTTTTAGCACTATAAGCCCTTACTGCTAGCTACTGGGATGGCAGTTTGAAAGAATAAGTGTGGCTGGGAACAGTGTGGGGTTGAAATTCAACATGTTATGAAATTTGAAAACAATAATTGTACTTCATTGCCACATAGATAATCAGGTAAACATTCAATTCACCACATAATAATGTTTCCCGATTGAAAGATTAAATTATCAGCACGAATCTCCAACAAGCATAGGTGAAGAAAAAGATAACATTACCTTGAATTATCCACAATTAAGTCCTAGAAATATTTTTATTTAAAATATTTATTGCTCATATAATATTTTCCAGAAGGAAAGATGGAGTACAGGTCTGAAGATCGATATTCTCATAAATCCAATCACTAATTTCAGATTAAATTTATTGTGTATACTTATTCATAGTAGCAAATTCTACTTGTCTCGCCATAACAAATTGCGCAACGAAACAGAATCTGATAGGATAAAACAGTATTTATTTATTTATAACACGTACATCCAATTCACGCAATCAAATATCGCACCATACATAATTACGTACATACTGTGCACATTTACAGTTCACCAATGTGGTTGTTCACAAAAAAAAAAGAACAACAACAACAAACAAAAAAAACACGAAAAACACTATGTTCAACAACCCCTAAACAATCCATTTTCACATAGCAACATTCAATGAATTTAACAAGTACAGTGACAGAGAGCTAGCCGTTACTTTCCTTAAATTGGTATGGAATTACTGAAAGAATCCAAAAAACTATTACAAACAAATTTCATAATGGCTTGAAGGGTACTCTGGGGCATCACTTACGACAAAGGAAATCTTAAGTACTCTTTCAAGATCATATCATTCCAGTTAACTGTTCTGTTGTAAAACCAATTAGGCTTACAAACACCACAGGTTAATGCGATTACTTTTATTTCAGAGCAAAGCTACAAAACAGGCTGTATGCATTTAAACCAGTTAACGTTAATTTCCAGTTCCTACGAAACTCCAATCTTACGAAATTTTTGAAAATTTAGTTAGATATGGATTGTTAATAGTATCGAAAAATCTACATCGTCTGGAAAAAAAAATCCAGGTAAAGTTTGATTTTAAAAGTTGAGTATTGTACAAAGTATTCAGTATTTTATAGAACATCAAATAAATAAAAAAATAAAACAGTAATAAATTATATGTAGTATAGATGGTTATATGTATATATATATATATATTTCTTGTTACTATGACTTTACTTCAAGTTCTATACACAACATTGTTTATGTAACAGAAGGAAACAAGTTTTTATCTGTTTAACGTGTGTTTATGTACACAACATTGTTTATGTAACAGAAGGAAACAATTTCTCATCTGTTTAACGTGTGTTTATGTACACAACATTGTTTATGTAACAGAAGGAAACAAGTTTTTATCTGTTTAACGTGTGTTTATGTACACAACATTATTTATGTAACAGAAGGAAACAAGTTTTTATCTGTTTAATGTGTGTTTATTCCAGGAAGTTCAAAACTATATCAAATAACTGAACATTGCAAGTTTCACTTTTTTGTTTTTCGACAGAAATGAAAAATAGAGAGTCAAATTTTTCTTTTAAAATATTAAAAGATACTAAACAAACATAAGTGACTTATCAGTGAAAAATGTTATGAAGTTTTGTGAGCATTAAACGATTTCATTTTTAACTTTTTCTCTTAGGCAAACTCTTTTAAAACAACAGTTAAGCCTACTATCACATAAGTAGAACCAATTTATAAAGCTGTAGTGTTACAATCTGCTTTAACTGATTATCAACCTAAAAGATGTCGTTTTTTCAGACACAATGACAAAAATTTTGAGATTACTGTCTTGCTTATTATGAAAGTTTTAATAAAACAAATCTGAAATCATTCTGTATCTTCACACATCTCAAAAACTAGATTATAAGAAGTGCAAAACAAAGAAATGATAGTTAGTTAAATAATTTTTCTCCTAGATCAGAAATCTAGTCTGAGTGTTGAACGACAACTCACTGATGAAGGCTGGTGAGAAAACTGGTAAATCTGATATGGTTAGTGTTCTAGCTTATCAAGCATAAAAAGCATGTACAAGTTAGTAAACTGGTAAATCTGATATGTTTAGTGTTCTAGCTTATCAAGCATAAAAGCATGTACAAGTTAGTAAACTGGTAAATCTGATATGTTTAGTGTTCTAGCTTATCAAGCATAAAAGCATGTACAAGTTAGTAAACTGGTAAATCTGATATGTTTAGTGTTCTTGCTTATCAAGCATAAAAGCATGTACAAGTTAGTATATAAGAAAATATATTTCCTTTGGTATTATGTTCCAGTCAAATAATCACAAATCATTATCACTAGATAGCTTATATGAAGTTACTGAAACACAGGACAGTAAATGCAAGTCTAATCAAATTATGAAAATTACCCTATATAAGAGAGTGTATAGTACACTTGGAAAACAAACTGGAAATTTTTGTGGTTGTTCTTAATTAACTACTTAAAACATTATTAATAAAGAACAACTGGAAAACACAATGCAAATTTTTGTGGTTGTTCTTTATTAACTACTTAAAACATTATGATTTTTAGAAAGGCCGATGCACTTAAAAGTTATTATATTTACAAGTCTAAGAAAAACCTAATAAATACTTTGCATTTTTTATCTTTATAGAAGAATAGTACTTTCTCCACATCCTCCTTTTTTTGCTAGATTTCCTATTTGACCAAAAAATATTTTCCTCAAAGAAACAGAGTCGAGATATCACAAAATAGCTCCAATGTATATATGTAGATACAAGAAAATTAGATGCACTGTAACTGCTTTCAATAAAATCAATAGTGCAAAACTGTAGGAAAGTGTATTTTATATGAAATAATAACACCTTATTTGACTTAAAACCTGTGAAATATTGAATCTGAACAATGAAACTTATACAACAAAAACTTTAGTTCAGAAAAAACTGTCACAACCTTTCTTGTAAAATTTCATGCAAAGTTAAGCATCAAATGTTACACATTCTTGTTTATAAGGATTCAGGTTATCCAATCTTACACTGTAAGCAAATTCAAGAAATTAAACTAACAGCTTCCATAAATCTCAGCGAGCATACAAGATGTTGTTTGAACTAATAGGCTTCAGTTCCAATTGTACAATATGTAAAAAATGTAACTAAACGGTTAAAACAACTTTGAACAATACATATCACAAAACTGGATTTCTGGAGTTATCACTATCATAAACTATAGCATTTCAGAAAAAAAAGGATAAACATTCTACATTAAATATGGTTCATTTTCTCTATGATAACCAGTTTAATCATCATTCTGTTTACATGGATCCATGTTAGAAGTACACTGACTGTTTTCATATGATAACCAGTTTAATCATCATTCTGTTTACATGGATCCATGTTAGAAGTACACTGGCTGTGTTCATATGACAAAAAGTTTAATTATCATTCTGTTTACATGGATCCATGTTAGAAGTACACTGTCTGTTTCATATGATAACCAGTTTAATCATCATTCTCTTTATACGAATCCATATTAGAAATACACTGACTGTTTCATATGATAACCAGTTTAATCATCATTCTGTTTACATGAATCCATGTTAGAAGTACACTGACTTTTTCATATGATAACCAGTTTAATCATCATTCTGTTTACATGAATCCATGTTAGAAGTACACTGACTGTTTCATAAGATAACCAGTTTAATCATCATTCTGTTTACATGAATCCATGTTAGAAGTACACTGACTGTTTCATAAGATAACCAGTTTAATCATCATTCTGTTTACATGAATCCATGTTAGAAGTACACTGACTGTTTTTTCCACAGTGCAGAGGCAGGATTATGAGATTCTGACACAAACTTCATAGTACTCGACATCAGAGATCTTGTTTTAGGTTCTGAATGGCACATTGTGATTAGGTTCTTCAGAGTTGAAGGGTTGACCTTATTCAGCTGTCTGCTCAGTTAGAGCAGTTTTTTTGTTTTGTTTTACAAACTGGAATGTGCTCTGTCTGTTTATTTCAACGTTTAAGTGAAACTCACTAGGCAATTTTTCACTGTTATCTTTTTTCCCTGCTCCTGAATTTGTCCAATACACATCTGAAATGTTGGTTTTTATCACATTTGTTTTTTTTCTAAACTACATAATGAATTATTTTCAACTCGTACAGCTGCAGCACACTGGGAGAAACTGTCCGAGTTGAAAGGCTTTCTTACTTGGTTACAGACTCTACCTATAACTGAACCATGGGATGTGCATCTGAGAGGCATAAAAATATTCTCAGCTCTTGTCACTGAAGGCTCGGTTGTGAAAACTTTAGAAATATCATTTTTTGGTGTGGAGTTGGCTATTGCAAGTTTACTCATATTGGAAGTTATAAGCAGAGGAGAAGAAATATCCTGAGAATTAGCATGAAGTGAAAATGAAAGAATTGATGGAGAAGGCTGTTCAGAAACTGACTTTCGTCTTGCCCTTCCTTCAGCAGGTTTTGGATGTAAGTGGTCAGGTGAGAGAGGTTGCCACAATAATGGAGGTCCTGACTCTGCATTTTTAGATTTCATAACAGGTTTCCTGCAAGAAGTAATGGGGTTAAGGGTGGTAACAGGGAATCCTTTCTGTACTGGAAAACTCTGAGTGGTCTGGGAGCTTCCAGGTTGATGAGTCAAAAGAAAAGCTAGTGGAGATAACGAACGAGCTGGTGAAGTTGAAGGAAGTGAGGATGAAGAATGAGTCAAAGCAAGAGGAGATAGAGGAATGTTACCTACAGATTTTCGACGGGGTGAACAGAAAGTCTGAGCCAACTTGTGTTTTAAGCCATGTAAAGAGCTAGGCCTGGGGCAGTGAGAAGAATGAGAAGAAATAGCTGGAGAATTCGGTGCACTTGAGCTAAGATAACTACTTTCTGTGGAATTAATGCTAACCGAATGACTTTTGTCAAAAGCTGAATAAAGCCGACTACTTAGAGGGGACCTAGTTACTTTACACGTTGGAGATAATGGAGCATTTTCAGCTACACTACCTTGGTGTATAGACTGAAAACTCCAGCTCTGACTAGTCAATGTAGGAGAGACAAGTGCCAACTGATGGAAGTCAGCACTTGCTTTTTTACTATTCAACCGACGAAGAAGTGAAGTTTTCCTTTTCTTTTCAGACAGATTGTCCTTCTTTACCTGCCCAATACGTCTTCGAGCAGTTGGTTTTATCATTTTAATGGAGGAAGGGTGTCGTTTCCTTCCTCCACTTTGGATGGTGGTGTTTTCTAAGGGTGTAGTTCGAATATTAAGACAATCCCCACTAGCCAAGATAAGACGGAGGATTTGAGGATGAAGTAGTCCTTGCACAGCTTCACCATTAAGATGAGTTATCAAGTCTCCTGGTTGAAGTCCTGCTTCAAATGCAGGACTGTTGTTGTCAACAGCCTAGACAAAAATAATATTTTTATAAAGTTAATATATATTTATCATAAGCAATTACTGGTAAAAAATAAAGTTACTATTCTGTTCAGAATAAATTAGGATTAATCATTTGCATAAACAATAATGCATGTAACCAATTCTTAAAACGAAAAACTTCAAAAAAATCACATCAACTAAAAAAATTTATAAATTCATGACTTTCAAATGAGAAAATGTTTTTTTATTATCTACAATAAATATACCATGTAATGTCATCGAACTACTTTGACGCCAAATACATTTACAATCATTTCTTAGAAG